TATTATCACTAAAAGAACATTTTACTTTTTTACATCCGTAGCAAAAGTTTAACATGAAATATGAATCAATTATCTTACTTAGCGGATATTGCGTGCTATATGCAACATCTACGGATTCTATTTTGATCGATAAGCTATTATATTACACGCATTAGGTAGCGATTCGATGATTACAGAAACGCAAGAGACAGTCACGGCAGTCTTCATCGAGCTTGTTTAAAACGAGTGGTGTTACGTAATAAATCGAATCTTTTTTTTTTTTTTATAAAATGTCGTGTACTGTTAATCGATCCGACGGATATTACGTGTCCACTTTGAAGCGTGCCGTTTTAAAGCGTCGGCGTTGCCGCTTGCTCGTAAATTGAATTCCGAAGTCATTCTACTGCATCGACCATCAGTGAACATTTTTGCAGGAGGATAATATAGAAATAACTTTTGCGAGAAAAAAAAACGACCAGAAACTTTGTTGCACCCGATAAATACCCTTGGTGTTAGAGATGTTGTTTAAAATTTTAGTGCTTAAAATAAAATATTAAAAAAAATTTTAGTGCCTAAGATGTTTAAAATCAAATTGCAGTTGAAAAAGTACATCGATATCGATATACCAATGCAACGATATACGTTATTCTTAAGTTTACGTTCGCGGTATCGTGGGATTTTAATCCAACTATATTCCGGCTTAATCTAGCCACATTCCATTTCTACAGATAAAATCGCGTAACACTCCTTACAAACGTGAGTCTGAATGGGGAGTTTCATATCGATATTCGATTTTCTCATCTAGCGTATTTTTCTCTTTACGCCCATGCTTTATAAAACAAAGAAAAAGGAATGACAAAACGCGAATTCGTGATTTTGGCGCTTCCGTTATGCGATAGATCGCGAATGGCTGTTCAATGGTAAAAGACTTACGTCGATTGATCATATAAAAGCGATCTTCTCTTGCAATCTTTGGTTTATAATTTGTCTCGGGTTAAAACAATCGATGGCATAAGAAAAAATGTTAATCGTAAAATTTACATCTGAATATTACCGTATTATTAAACGAATTTTTATCCGTTTATGAAATCCAGATGGAATAACCCAGAGTCGAGGGTTTCACGAAAGAATATGAGAACTGAGTTTAATATTTGACAGTTTTATCGAACGAACAATAATCTCGCAAGACTACTTATCTTCAGACGAAGATGAGAATTAAATCGATTCTCTAAATTACTAAAAGACTCCTTTCCTGCGGAGTCTACCAAGCACGAATGAATATTTAAACGGTGAAAAAGCAGCCCAAGCATCAAAGACTTTCTTATTATTGAAAAGTTCGCGATAGAAGATAGCTTATTACTTTCAATGCATTCGGGCTTCCCGATAAGTCTCGTTATTTTGATACCCTTGCAAACTTCTATTATCTTGCTCTCTCTTTTTCCTTTTCTCTTTCAAGAGATATTTTATCATTAAAAATAGTTATCTGTAGAGATCAGTTATAATAAGCATCGATAAGTACACGTGTGATAAATTGTATAATATATGCATTATGCCAAATATGAAAAATATATTAAATTTTGCTATCCAAAATTTTTATATATAAGAATTTTAGATTTTCGAAAAAAACTTTCTTACATGACTTGCAAAATTTACATACAAAAATCCGAATAATAATTAAAACTTTTATTTTCTTGTTTTATCGGTTCGAGAATTAAAATAGTCGTTAAAACTTTCAAAAAATTGGAAGCGATTGAAAATTATAAAGTTGCGGTAAATGATTAATTTCTTCAACATCTTTGATAAAGAAGAGTCGCGCGCGTGCAATATCAATTTCTCTATCGTTTTTTCTTTATCATTAGAAGAAAGTCTATTATTAAAATTAAAGGAAAAAGAATATTGGAATATTATTACGTTTGACGGTTTATTTCAATTTCTTACTGTTCAGATCTTTTCTAAATAAAGATACGCTTATAATATGTTTGTCAATCTTCAGCTTCTGCAGAAGAAAGAGAATGAAATCTTGTCTCTTTGAGAAAATTGCATTATGCGAGTTAATTTGCAATTTGATACAAACTCGTCCATGAACTAAAAAGGAATCCGTGGTGTCTTTTAAATATAAAGGATGATATATAGACTTTCAATATCGATGTTCTCTCTACTCTTGCATTTCAATTTATCTTGGAAAGGTATTTTTGACATCCGTCTCCTTGAGTTGCATGAAATAAATTCGAGAAGTCGAGATCCTTTTCTCAGTTTCGCTAACTGTTCTTGGCTTTGAAATCCGACGAAATTATAGCGAGAAAAGAAGTATTAAATATCTCGTATCTATTTTCTTTTTCTCGTTCTCTATTTTCTATTCTCGCGTGAACAAACGAGACTGCAATTGAACGAACTCACAAAGAACGTACTGTCGCTCGTTATACACATGTCATTAATCCTTTTTTTACATAAACGAGTTTTCTTACAAAAAATTATTAAAATTTTTTATAAAAAAATAATAGTAAATTGTCTTTTCTATAGAATATTCTATCAGATTTATTAATTTTAATACAACTTAAAAAGTTTTTGTTTTGCTCATAAACAAATAAATAAAACAAGCAAATAAATTTGCATGTATTAACCTAACAAGTACAAACGGCCGTCTAACGACGTAATGAATATCGTGCGTTTTTATCGCACACCATTTCTCAAAGCTTGCTTAAAAAATAAAAAAATGCCACAACGGCCTACTTAGAATCTACCCAGCTAGGCAATTTATTTTCATTTCTCCTAACGATTCTCTCAACCCGTCTCCCTTTCCGCGCTCCACTTTCTATACAGAACGAATAATTTCAAGTCCCTTCCGAGAACCTGCGATTCACTCTGTCCGATCGATAGCATTAATGTTATGGTTCTGAGGAATTTTGTAACGCGATTACGAGAGAGCTGGAAAACGCACGTAATGATTTCCATATCTTGAGCGATTCAGTGTTAGAAATAGCACTGATTCGATAAAATCAAGTTAGAACTATTAGAATTATGCATATAGATTCTCCGATTTATACGAGGATTTCTTGTTGAAAGAAACGATATAGACAGCTGTTGCAATTCATGTTCGAAAACGCTCCCACCTTTTTCTCTTGCGCGTCAAATTTAGAGAAACCCTGGTGGTAAAGTTTTCAATAAATATTTTATCGAATTTTGTTTAGCGATTTTAAATTTTACTATATATAAAACTTTATAACATAAAAAATTGAAATTATATATTATATATTATGCCTCGAAATATCTCTAAAAATTATACAGATCTACAGATGTCAATCTGCTTATACATAATTTATTAATTTATCATATTTGATAAATTTTATAATTATTTATTACATTATTTAAAAATTACGTTATTGCATTTTAAATATAATTAATAATATTAATCTTTTGATATTTTGCATAATCTTAATTCACATGTTTATAGAATCTGTTAAATTAAGTGATATATCAAAGTTCTAAACATACATTTATTAACGAGAGATCAGATATACATATAAGATTATTAAATATCTCATTTAATTTCCAAGCATATAGATATTATAATCTAATTATCTCATTTAACTTGTAGTACTGATATTTTAAGTTAATTATAGTTTAATCTTAATCAAGAATCTTAAATTATAAAGGAAGATAACGTTCCTTAGAATTTTTAGGCTAATAAAAACACAGCATAAAATATGCTGTGCTAGCAAATCTTTTTCTCTGTACATTTCTTTTCTCTCACTTTTTGCTCTTTTCTCTTGTCCTTTCCACGAGATTTATGATTGCCGTAGCTCGATTGTACTAACTACTTGTAATACGTAAATTTCAACGCATACGATTTAGAGGGACTTAATTTCAACGGCGTAATAACGAGACACAAAATGATAGAAGGAGATGAGAGGGATAAGAGATAGAGAGAATAAAGTTTGATATTGTGTAGATACTGTTACCACTGTATAATATATCTCTAACTGCGTTACGCAAAATACAATGCACGCATTAGAGACGAGACATATCGTTTCCACGACGTGTCTTTCATAAAATTTGCATTATTTTGATAGTTACATAATGATAATCTGCATCGCTTATTTATTTCGTTGTGCAATGGCATGAACATTTGGCAGATAAATAATTGTTTACCTGATATTTTCATGAGTGCAATCGATGAAAAATAAATACGCCGATAAAGTTCGACTAAACACTTTTGCGAGTTAAATTCTTCGATCTCTCCTTCAGAGACAGACTTCGCGACGTCTTTGTCGCGTAATCAAATTACCTGAATCTAATTAATAGTTCATCGATACTACCTACGACGGTAGGTCGAAGCGACTTGACTTGTTCACCCACGGTACATCCACGATCGTAGTTAACCACGTAGTCAACGTTATGTACGTAGGGACCGCGCGTTGTTTGTCACCGGCAATTCGGAGCATGCCTGATTGAACGTAACACGGCGCATACAACGCATCCGCGGCGTTGTACGGTTGTCTTACGAGATATTAAACTCCGAATCCGGCCGTCCCGTGTCACGTAATGCGAAACCGGCCCGTGTGCGTGCCGTGCAACGGGAACAACGAAAATTGTTGTACAACAACGCGTTGGCAAGAGAAGCCGATATATCGGATGCAACGCGTCCCGCGAGGCAACCCCATATTCGCTCGCGTATGAAATCTGTTTGCCGGCTTTATCGCGCGCGTAGCTTTATGGCACGTCCATTTAAAAAAAAAAAATAAAAGAATAATACTCGTTGTTCTGCGACGGCTCTTATTGCCAATCACTTGCGGCGGCATTTTTTTAAATTGCGTATAATACCTGGTGATTTTTTCATCGGTATATGCAACTGTTTTCCAATCTCTTTTTTAAACAGAAAGATAAAAGAGTTCGTTATCTTTGTAAGCTTTTTTTTTTCTAATCCTGCTCTTTCATTTATATATACGCTTATTGTATTATCTCACCCATATGATATTATAAAGACTAGATTCTCTTTGAGAGAGGAAAGTTATATTACTCACCCTCGACGATTTGCGTTTGTTGGCGCTCTCGACACACGGGAAGCCACCACACTGAAATACATATATATAAATATATTATATAATGGTCTTATCTGTCTCTAACAATCTTATTTAATAATAATTCAAGGACACGGAATATTTCAGAGAAAAATCGTTTTAATATAGAGATTTCTGCGTCAAGTATTAATCATAGTTAGTACCCTTGAAAAACATTTTTATGCGGGAAGTAGATGGAAAACATAGATTGTTTTTATGGCATAATAAACAGTAGATAGCATATAGTATAAACTGTATTCGAGGTTTGTACGATAGCGGTCTTCAGAGAATGTACAGTAAACGCGTTGCCACGAATGTGTCTTATCAGAAAGGTGTTTTAGCTTATACAGCTATATTATAAAATATGTCTGTATATGTCGAGAGAATTTAACGATCGATATAAGAATACATAATTTGAAATTTATATACCGCAATTATATTAGTTCTCGTCTCACCAGCGTAATTGCACATGCTCAGGTAATACATGACATTTGCATAACATTTTTTTATGTTCTAAAATGCTTAATGTTATGAGAAAGATTTATTGTATAAATCAAAAAGATAGTTATATTTGGGAACAAATGGTTATTCTTTTAAAATAAATGCGTATTTGACTTGAAACAATTTTGTTAAATATCTAATTATTTTCCTTTTTACATAACATTTGTTAATATAATAAAGTCTGCATTTTTAAATGTGGGCATTATTAGATAGCACGTGATGATTTTTATGTTATACGTGTTTGCTTATTGTTAGAGATTATATAAATATTAATCTTTCGATTAATAGAAATTTTATAAAATCAAAAATCGAAATATAAATAAATTGAATTATATCAATGTCATCATATGTGAAAAATTAAGAAGAATAATTCCAACATTTCACGGATAAAATATTATTATCGAGCAAAATTTGAAAAAAATAAATAAAAAAAGAACGCATTATTATAATTATATGGCAGAGAAATGTTCAAAATATTGTTTCATATAAAATGATTTCATCAAACTCGTCGACATAGCAATAATTTGGTATGCTTTCGTGTGTAGCTCGTGTCTATTTATTACAGCGTATGGTTTAACGATGGAAGAAAACCGCTCGGCTTTTCTGTCCGCTTGTTACGCGTGCGGACGAAACAAGCGTCATTCCGAAACGCGAGAAGTTCACCACGAGCAACCATAGCCGCCATATACAAATACCACAAATGCGGTTTATTGTTTTATCGTGACGGACACGTAAAAATATGTTGAGCGCTCGTGCGCCATTTCTATGCGTACGACGTGCACGCGACGAGTTTAATGCGCGGATAACCGAGTGGAATGGTTTTGCCATGCGGAAATATCACTGACCAGCGAGACGAAAATTTTTTTCCGCATTGGAATGTTTTTAACCCTTTAAACTCTTCAAATGTGAACAATTTTTTTATTAATATATTCGATAAACATCTTCTTATCATTTCATCTTTGTCTTATTAATATCGTATATACAAGCAATCTACTAAAAAAAATAATTTTTTTTTCACCTAAATTGCAGAATGTAATTTCAAAAAATAGAATATGATTCTACTTTCTTTCAGCTTCTTTTACAAACCCATTGAAAACGAACTTTAGCAAATTCATATGAAATTTACATTAGCATTTTGCATATATTTTGTCCGCTGAAATGCAATGTCCCTGTCAAAAATGTGAAATTCAAAACGATGTCTGGAACGTGAACGAGTTACGAGAGAAGGATGCAAAAGAAAGACGCTCGGTTTTGTCGATGATTTGCCGAGCGGTCGCAATGGAAGAATAGAATTGCTTTCCGCTTCTGGTGGAATTCCTACCATATTCCTCGGACATGCTACTTCCGATTATATATATATATATATATATACTGCTTTTTCTAGTTCTGTCAAATAATTTAAAAATAACTGTGCTGTTATGTGTGTGTGAATATATATCTTTTAATTATTTCAATCTAAAAAGAAAGAAAGGAAGGGAATATCTAATATATTACAAATAATAAATAAAATCAGTAACGTTAACCACTTCGTAAAACGCATAAAATGTTGTAGTGAAAAGTATACTAGAAAAAATATACATATAAATTTCGGAAAACATTTAGAAGTTGATTTTTATAAACGAGAAAGTAAAATCTTTTTACGGTTCTTCAATTTATAAAAAAATTTACAAGAGATTAGAAATTTAATTTATTTACAGTATTAATTTATATTCAATTTTCGTGCAGAATGTAATAAACATAATAATTTCTAATAGATGACAATTTGATCTTTCACTGTTGCCGTCCCAGCTTCTTTTCACGAAAGATTCACGGTCGACAGGAGGGAGAACAGCACTTTATTCCTTCGCTCGGTCCACGCTTTGCGATGATTAAGTCTTCCCCGGAGTTTTATCCTCGAAGGGCGGAAAAAAGTTCCACGGGGAAGACTTGAACTCCCTCTTTCCGTCTAGAATGGTTTTATCTTCGATCACGCTTCGTGCTGCGTTGCGGTCTCGTTTGCGCAAAGTCGAGCGAGATAATCGATACGTCTTCGTCCGCTCTCGCCACCTAAAAGCCGCCGAGATGCTATTTCTCGTCGTTCCCTTTGCCCTTCGCCGTACGATCTTTTATTATTATGCGCGTTCAAGGCTAAAGAGCGATTCATATACACACACATATACTGTATCATTTTTTTTCTCATCACTAATATAAGTAACAATATATAAGCATGATAGAGAAAACGCGCAAAAGTAAAAAGAAACTCAATTCATCAAAGAAACTCAATTTTAAAAAAGTATGAAATCTATTTCTTTTTTTAAATAGAATATTCAAATTTAGTAATCATGATATAAATAAGAATAACTTAATTATAGATATATTGTTAAATATATAAATAAAACAAATATAAGCATATCCGCTCTCTCTATTTTAGAAAATATGGATATATAAAAATGTAAATATAAATAATGTAAAAAAGCACTCTTTATAAAATATAAATAAAATATAAATAAAATTATTTTCGCTATTTTAGAGAGTCTTCTTATAAAAAGAATGTGCAACCGCAATCTGGCACAAACATAGAAATATTGGATTTTTTTTAAAATGCACTTAATATGCGAAACGTTCTCGTTTGCGCAATATTAACGACCGACCGTAAATACCGAATTGTGTAGCCGAGATTATGACGTATGTTCATGGCAATTTCTCGAATCGATTTCCGATCAACTACTTCGATGGACATTCAATCACTAGCACTTCCGTCAACAAAATTAGACATTGACATTGTGTTTTAAGTTTCGAGGAAAAAAAAATGCCGTTACCGATTCGTTTTTGAGGGAACGGGAATATCGATCGGTTTGGACAGTTCTCGCATAATAATGTTTTGAATAATAATATAAATTTGACAAGGCAAATTCGTCTCCGTAAACTGTTTACACAAATTGTAACTAATTTAGAACGCAATCGATTAACACGAACGGCATCACTGTGCAATGTTTATCAGCGATTGACACAAACTTCGCTGGCTGTAAATCATCGAAAGGCCTGTGTCAACGGGAATTTTCATTTTTGGTCGTTGATAGGAATGGCCGACCGTCATCTCGCTCAACAGAAATTAATTCAGTTTTATAACCGCTCCTCTTACATTTACGCCTCTACCCCCCCACAGCTGGCGTATGTCCGAACCACCCGTTTAAATGAACGCTTGCTACGTTATCCAGGACGAAGCAACCGCGACTTACGCATGCTATAAAAAAAAACGAAAATACATTTTAATTAAAACAAAAAATTATACAGAAATTCAATTTCACACGGGTTTATTACAGTAGGATTCACAACTCTGAAAATTTCATTATTATTATATATAAATCTGTTCATTATAATGGAGATAATATTCTGTTATTTTTAATATACACACACATAAAAGCGATAAATCTACTTGTTCCGCTTGTATAGAGATGGCAAATTTTTTCACAATAATTGATTAAATGTAAATATCCATTCGGATTTCTGTTAATCTCGGAGTTAAATTCAACAGCGCGGGCGCAATTTAATTATGTCATCGATCGTCTACCATTACGTTCTCAGGATATATAAAAGATATAGCTGCAGTAAATGTTTTCACTAACAATATTAACAGCAACTAAATCGAAGAAACTAATACGTAATAATCATAAGTAAAGATGATATTGAGCCTAATTATGAAGAAAAAATGACGATACAAATAGACTCTACGAGTATAAAATGTGTCTTGATTTTAATTCGATACAATTTTTATTTTTACTTATTATCATGAGTAAAACGATATTCATATAAATACTACGTTATATTTAGACTATGCATTTGGCTTATTTTTGTTAAGTCTTATAAAAACAGAATCTTAATAATTAATACTACATTTGTAAAAAGTCACTGCGCATATATGCACAGAAAGATATGCATATTTTCCCTTATTGAATCAAAATAATTCCATATATTTTTCACGTATTGGAACTTGCAAAGTATTCACTTTATATTACTTTTACATTTCCGTGCACATAAATGGAAATTATAAATAACGTAATAATAAAATTAATAAATGTATAAAACTGCTTATGTACACAACTGGCCATTAAAATTGCAACATTATATTACATTACATTACATTTATATAGCAATGTATGTGTGTATAACGACGACCACCGGCAGATAACTGGATACAATCATATTATAAAAATTAATTAAACGTGGATCGTTACAGAAGCACAAACTTTTGCACTGGGCAATTCTATACGTCCTCGATTTTCGCGATGAGATTGTGTACGACGTTTATCCGTATATATGTACTTGTTCGTTACATCATCTAGACACTAGTATTCGTTGTTTCCGAGGATGTACGGGCGAAATTTATCTCGGCATGCGAAATTTTCGTTTAGCCGCCTTCATTAACGAGTTTCTCGATTAATTATCACGGCGCGTTTCAGGTCTCTCATACATTTGACCAAATATCATTGCGGATGAAAATCATTTCTAGCTTGCCGAAAGGAATATAATCGTTG